TCTCTTCTCTTCTCTTCTCTTCTCTTCTCTTCTCTTCTCTTCTCTTCTTTCTCTTCTCTTCTCTTCTCTTCTCTTCTTCTCCTCCTCCTCCTCTTTCTTCTCTCTCTCTCTCTCTCTCTCTCTCTCTCTCTCTCTCTCTCTCTCTCTCTGCACTACTGGATATTGAACCCAGGGCCTTTGCACTGAGCTCTAGCCATTTTTTATTTTAACACAGAATTTTACTAAGTTGCCAGGTTTGAACCTGAACACTTTATAAGCAAGGGAGCAAACCAAAGTTTTTTGCTGTTTCTTGCTTTTATCTACAGGGGAAGTGTGGATCTTGCCTCTGATGAGCCTACTGATCAGAAGTAGAGGAAAAGGGGGCAGTGATTCATGAAGTATTTTCTTTTTTAGGAATTCTCCCAGAAGTATTTCCAACTTTGAGAATGGTGATGGCATATGGGTTGGCTCATTTATTTTCTTCCACTTTTTTCCAGAGTTTCTCTGAATCATCATCTGGATCTGATCACTCACAGCCTTCAACTGAGTGTGCCTCTGCCAGCAGTGACCAGCAGCTGGCTGGTTTCAGCACCCAAGCCACCAGCCAGAGCTGCTTGGACTCTTCAACTGCTCAACGCAAGATGGCTTTAAACTCCCAGAAACAACAAAAGAAAAGTCTTCAAGCCACTGTAAGTTCTTGAAGAGACCTGGGAATAAACTCTTGTATAAGAAAAGATGAACTCCAACCTTTGCAAACTGTTCCTAGGAAATTGTATGGCTTGAGAAATCCATATGGCTTGGCAAAATCAAGGGCATGTTTTTGCTTTGACACACTCAAAAGGATGGGCAAGTTCATGTCTATTGGATGCAGTGTCTTACCCATTTAGAACTTCTACAAAAAGGGGCTGAAAAAAGCAGAAACAGTGATTTAATGCTCCCAGAATCTGCTTCTTTCCTTAGCATCTGGGAAATCACTCAGCCTTCTTTGTAGAGGACGGTCACCCTAACTCAGATCAGGATTCTTTTAGTTATTAATCAGGTGAGACTCAGGAGTTACAAACTGCAGCACAGGCTCAGTCATGTGCAGTTCAAGCCTGCAACTCCAAGCATTCAGAACTCAGCAATTAATCCCTCCAGACTTTCAAATAGATGCCATAGAGTTCTGCCAAGTGAATTTCTAGCAAGCAGTGCTATATTTAGGCAAACCTACTGTGTTACAAATATAGCCACACAAGAAATGGTCTGGGGTGCAGGTCAGTGGCAGAGCACCTGCCTAGCCGAGTTTAATCCACAGCACCAGGGGGCAGGGGAGGAGAGGAGAGAGAAAAGAAAAGAAAAATGAAGTGAAACCATGGCCACAGATCAGACACAGAGAAGTGACAATTGATAGCAGAGAGAGAGAGCTGATAGGAACAATCAAAGGTAATTAGGTATAAGAAATCAAGCACCTTGCCCAGTCTGGGTGTAGCGGTACACACCTGTAATCCCAGCTATGCAGGAGGGGGAGGCAGGACAATTGCAAGTTCAAGGCCAGCTTGGGCAACATGGCGAGACCTTGTCTCAAGAAAAAACAAAACAAAACAAAGCAAAAACAAAACCCTTGGCTATATTGATAGGTCCTTCAGGACTACACATTAATGTAGCCCAACGTAATAAATCATGTTCACTATTTCTCCAAATCATCAAGAACCGTTCGATTATATTCCTCGATCCCTGTTTAAAAAGATAAGAAGCTAATGCTTTTTGCAAAAGATTTTCACTAAAAGTTAAGAATTTAAAGACACTGGAATTTGAAAGGATGTGTCAGCTGAAACATTTAATTTTGTCAAACACCCAGTTCCTCAGTGACTCTGGGTTAAAAGTGAAAGGCTATCAATCAGAGCAGGAGGAGACCGAAAGATTGTGTAGTACACGCATTTTACTGGGAAGGACATTCAACCACAAATAGTCCAGGTACTTGCCCAAAGTTAAACACCGAGGTGATTGCAGAGCTAAGGGCTAGAGTCCAGTGTTCTGACTTCCATCCAGTACACTTTTTACCACATCACATTGCTTCTAGACAATTGCAATTTTGCTTTAGAAAGTGGGCAAAATATAAGTTGAAAGAACAACTGGAGGAGCAGGGAATTTATGAGGACTTCTAGTGACCTTTACACAATCTCCTTGGTTTGGTATCATGCAAGGGGTGACCAGTTACTAGGCATGAAACTATATGTGCATTATCCCATCTAGATACCTTACTACAAACCTGGAAGGCAGGGAATGTTGGCTAAGGGACATCTAGTGTGTCCCTTCTGCCACTGTCCCTCTGCATGACCTAACTGAGAAAAGGTCTGGGCATCTTCTGAGAGAGCAGGGACATCTACTTCCCATCCCTGTAACTCTCTTCCTCACATAGGGAAAATATAAAAAGGTCCAGAATCATTTATGATGCAGGGGTTGCTATTACTTCTTCCTGCTCTGGAACCTCTTAGATCTGCAAGTCCCACAGGACTCCTGACCTTTAACTTATAGATGTGGCCACAAAAGTTCAGAGGGTAATGTGCTCAATGTCAGAAGGTTAGTAAATGATGGAGAAGAGATTTAAACTCAGGTTTACTGGACTTCATTTACTCAAAAGTAAGTGGTTTTGCACTGTGTATAGGAACTGTGAACGGGATTACAAAGAGTTGTGCATTTATCATTAAATGTTTGCCATAAAGCGCTTACACTAAGCAAACTCTAGATACTGTTTAGGGCAGTGCTACTTTCATAATTCCAGAGCTGTGCTATAGTTATCTGAAAATCTTTCTTACACTAAACCACTTTCAACCCATTCAGTGTAAAGTCTAAATCTTTCGTCTTTTTCTGTCTTCTCTTCCAACAAAACTCCAAAGCTCTTTCTTCTTTTGAACTGGTAAGACATAATTCATATTTTCACTAAATTCCCTGCAAAGAAGCCAGTCAGGATTTGAGTTTGAATCATGGTGCAGTGAGGCAAATCTGAGAATTTCAGTGCTGTCAAAGGCATGAGATGTTGTCAAGCCCAATAATCCCATTTTCAGGGTTATGGCCTTCCAGCATGATTCAGTATTTTCCAAGGTGTTTTAGAGTGATAACTACTGCATTTTATTCAGATATTAGGAACTCCAGATCTGGATGAACCACTTCCAATGGGTATAATGATCCCAAGGAACTTCTAGATGCATGCCATTAGAAATAACTTCCATCTTTGCAGTATTGATATGAACTTATTTAGGGGGAGCAACTGTGGACAAGCGGGTGGAGAATGTATCAGTGAGATTGAAGCTCTTTCCCTGTTTTAGGTGGAAGCAAATCAGGAGGAGCCAAACCTTTCAGTGGTTTCTGAAGGAGCAAAGAGTCCAACCAAAGTCAAAGAAATTAGCCCGAAGAAGGTGAAAATAGAAAGTGAAGGTTGGTACATCTTCACTCTCACCCAAAAACATGTGTCACAGGCTTCATTGCACAGTACAATGTGACAGAACAAGAGTTACCCAGGGTTGCTACCCTTGGTCTTTAGAAAACTTTCAATTTGAGATGTATGCATTGAGGTGAAGGCTTCTCCATTCAAACTGCCAAATTAATACAAGTACTATTTGTGTGCGGTTTGGGGGCAGGAGCATGCCTGGGTGCCTATATTCTCTCAATGAATGCCACACAGAAAGGTCCTTGGTTTGTTTGTAAATTTGTTTACTCTTCTTTGAGGTCAATATGCATGTTGAGTTCCTCAGAAAGGCAGGGTATCAGAGTGTGGTTAGTGATTCAACGCTCTTCCTCAGCAACAGAATCAGAGAAGACTAACAGAATTTGCAAAACTATGATTGTTTTTAAAATTGCCTTTCTCTCCCAGTAGAGAAAAGCCTTGGGTCAACAGTGAGACCTGTTCCTATGTTCATGGGCAAAGAGGGCTTGTGCAGCTGCAGGCAGATGCCCTTGGTAGCCAGCACCTATCAAATTCCCAAACAACAAAAACCACCACAGTGAAAATCTGTGTGTGTGTGTGTGTGTGTGTGTGTGTGTGTGTGTGTGTGTTGGCTCCTGCTAATGGCAAGCTCATTTCAAGAAATATTTGATATTTGATAAGCAAAAATCTAGTTCCACAAATTAAGTTGCATAGTTATTTGAAGTTTTTGCCACAAAAGATTTCACATCTGGATTCAGACACACGATATCCCTGAACATATGTTCCCACGAAAGCAGAACCACAAAATTGTCCTGGAAAGAAAGGAAGGAAGAAAAGAGGAAGAAGCGAAGCTTAAATTATTAATCTTCTGTCGGATTCATTTTTAATAGTTATCTTTGATATTCTGTAGAACTGAATCAATACTTATAGAGGCAGATGTTTTGGTTGGCATTCCATAAGGACAGTGAATGGTTTGGAGCACAGCCAGCTCTTCTCAATGCTGTATCCTCATATGAAACCACTAGATGGAGCCAGGGATACATTGGATGGTGAAAGAGGAAGAGCAAGAAGGGGCCCGCCCATCTGGGCATCAATCTGGATAGCTGCTATCTTGTGTGTTTGCCTTAAAGCCTGTGGACTGATGCAATTGTGTAGGTGATCAAATATTGCTTTACATGTACATTACATGGGATTGTTATAATTCACAAGAGTAGAAAACAAAAGAAAAAGAGGCCATAATCCTTGCTCCCAGACAACTCCTGTTGACACTTCTGAAAAATAAAGCATACAAGCACATGATATGGAACGTCAAGAAGTTCAGATAACTATCAAGTAGAATATTGAAATCCTAATCAGAAAGTAAAAATAACCCTTCTGACTGCCCCAGTCATTTTCATCAAAGATAATCATCGTTAGGAGTTTAGAATTTGCCCTCCACTCCACTCCCTGGTACTGGGAATTGAACTCAGGGCCTTCACACTGAACTGTATCTCCAGCCCTTTTCTATTTCTTAGTTTTAGACAGGATCTCACTAAATCTCTAAATTGCCTAGGCTGGGCTTCAATTTACTGGCTTTCTGCCCCAGCGTCCCAGAATGCTGGGATTACAGGTGCGTACCACCGTACCCGGCTCAAAATTTGTCTCTTGATGTGTCTTATATCTGACAGTGGACCAGACAAGTGATAAAATGATGAGCCAACCCTGGAATCAGTTTATAGAATTTAAATTTACCTTTGATTTAAATTTTTCCAACTGCAGAAAGTTTAAATAGTGACCAAGTTGTGCTCTATCTCTTGAGCAGCCGCTCCTTCCTACTAGGGAATTGAGTAGAAAATAGGTACTCATTTGGCTATGGCAGAGTATTTTTGTTTTAGGAAGCCTAAAGTGCACATATTTCTTATTTTTTCATTTCTATTCGGTACAGACCCCTCAGACCGGGAACAGATTGACCATACCAGAATTTACCATCAACAGGAAACAGATAAGCCTAAAAACGCTAATGCTGCTGGAAACCTGAGAAACCCAGCGTCAGCGGCACACGGCAGAAGACGTAAAAGAACAGGAACATGTGCTTCAGCAACAAATCAACATGGACTTAAAGGAAGAAGCTTTATACAATTCAGTAAAATTCATGGCCTAGACAACAGAGCCATGTCCTCATCCACCAATAAGACTGCCAGGGGTGGCCCTTCCTGGCACCTGCCCTCAGAAAAGCAAGCTGTGGAGCACCCGGCAACTTTACAAGCAGAAATCACTACCCCTCTGGAGATGCTTTCAGATAAAAGTGATGTGAGCAAAGATGCTAGTGTAGATTTTGAAGCCAAAAAAGCATTAGCACCACAGCTCATACCTGAACACACGCAAAAGTCTATGGTTAGTGGCCCACAACCAAACCATGAAGATGGGGCTACTGTAACTGAAAAGATAGAACCCAGAAGTCTTTTGCCAATGGTGGGAAGTCCTTCCAGAACCCAAAAGAAGGCCTTTCATTTAGTGACAACAGAGGCTCAGGTGCTTAGGGATCCTTCTCCTGGCCAGTCAGAAGAGGAAGAAGCTTCCCACCTTGGTTTGCAAAATGACCACTCTGAAACAGAGAATGTCCCAACTATCTGCAAAGAAAAGCCTCCAGGAAATGTTCTCCAGGACTGCACAGTGAGCTTTTCAGGTACGACAAATGCCACAGCAAAGGAGGGAGGCATTTCTATGGAGAAGCCTAAAACTGAAAATGTCTCTCCAGATTCAAAGGGTGCATTAGAGAAAGGGAGTGATTCTGAGAAGCAGCCAGGCACTGAGCATTCTTTCCAGTCCTTGAAGAAACCTAAAGACAAACAAGCAGTCTTCCAAGAATCCAAAAATTTAGTTGTGGAATTGAGCGGTGTGGAGCAGCAGCGGTCTCTTGGATATTCTTCCCAGGTCTTAAGAAAGCCTGAAGCTGAAAAAGGCTCTTCAGAGTCAGAGAGTACTTCTAATAGGAAGAGTGGTTCAAAGGAAGTGCATCCTGCTCACGCTTCCCAGTCCTCAGGGAAGCATAAAGGAATCTTCTCAGAATCAAATAGTTTTGTTGCAGAGCAGCTGGCTCCCAAATGTCCCTCCGAAGCAGTACTGGAGCCTGAGAATAAAGAAATCTCCACAGAGTCAAATAGTTATGTTAAAAAGTACAACAGTGCTGAGGTCTGGCACAGCTCAGAGGAAGGCCTACCTCTCAGATCCCCTAACCAGGCCTTGAAAAAATCTGAAGATGAGCAAGATGTGCCCTCAGTTCCAGAGAATGCTTGGAAAGAGCGGATGCTTTCCAAATGCCCTACTCAGTCCGTTGTGAGGCCTATTGTTCAGCAGCACATCTCCTCCAGTTCAGTGAGTGTTTGTGCAAGACAGCATGGTTCTGTGGAGCCAGTGACTCCCAGCCACCGTTTCCAGCCATGGGTAAAATCTAAACTTGTGCGATTTGTCTCTGCAGGTCAAGACAGTGCTGTGGAGTGGGGCAGTTTTACAGAACCACTGCCTCACAAAAAGACTTCAAACTACCTAATGAATCCTAAAGTTGAGCAAAAATCCCCCTCGGGTCCAAAAATTACATCTGTGAAAGAAGTTTCTATGGAAGTGTTGCCTTCCAGATATTCTCAGCCCCCGACAAGAGCAATAGTTGAGCAAGAAGCCTCTGAATATCCAGATAGCACTCATGTTGAGCGGAGAATTTTTGTGGCCCCGAGGCATCCCTCACACCCTTTCCAGCCATGGATGAGCCCTCAAGTAGAAAAACAAGTTTTCTCATCTCCAGAAAAGGGGGGCATTTTTGTGAAGCCACTGCCTGCTGGACATCTTCCTCAGCCCTCGAAGAGCCGTGCAGTCCAACAAAGCATGTCATTAGGTTCAGAGAGTGTTGCTGCTGACGCCATTTCTGTGAAGCCACGGTACAGCAAATACTCTCTCCCAAGTCCTCAAACCCAACCAGTCTGCTCAGAAAACACTGCTGTCGAACAGGGCACTTTTGTGGAGCAACTGCCTCGTGGACACCATTGTCAGCCTTTGGTGAAGCCTAAATTCCAGCCACAGATGAGCCTAGACTCAGCAAGCACGTCTGCACAATGGGGCAGTGTTGTGGAGGCACTGGCTGCTAGACACACCCGCAAGATATGGATGTGCTCTGAATGTAAGCAGCAAGTTTCTGTGGGTCCAGAGAGCACTCATGATGAGTGGTGCATTTCTAAGGAGTCAATGCTGCCCAGACACCCTGGGCAGCCATGGCTGAAACCTACATTTGAGCAAGTCTCTGCAGGTCTAGAGAATGCTGCTACTGAGTGGAACATTCCTATGGATCCACAGCCTCCCAGAGTGCCTTCTCGGCCCCTAAGGAAGTCACAAGTCAAGCAACCAGTCTTCACAGGCTCAGTGAGTACTTCTGGACCACGGACCAGTTCTGTGGAGCAAATGCCTCCCAAGCACCTTTTCCAGCCATGGGTGAGCTCTACACTTCAGCCACAAGTCTCTGTAGGTCTGGAGACCACTGCAACTGAGGGGAGCATTTCGAAGGACTTGAAGCCTTCTACATACTATTCTCAGTCTCTGACGAGACCAACAATCAAGCAAGAAGTCTCAGATTCAATGAGTGCTTCTGAAGAACGCAGTGCTGCTGTGGGACCAATCTTGTCAAGACACACTTTCCAGTCACGGGCAAACCCTAAACTTGAGCAACAAGGTTCTGCGGGTCCAGAGAGTGTTGCTATCGAAAAGGACATTCGTAGGGAGCTTCCCAAGGATCTTTCCCAGAGCACTACGAGACAGAAAGTCCAGAAAATGACCTCAGGTTTTGAGACTGCTATTGTTGAGGGAGTCAAGGTGACCCCTTCCGAGGGGTCACTGTCTCCTGAACATTCGACCTATTTGTTAGTGAGGTCTAAAGTTCAGAAAATATCCTCCACCCCAGAGAATACTGCTACTGAGGCAAACATTTCTAAGAAATTGCTGCGTCCCAAGAGTCCTTCCAACTCATTCGTGAAGTTCATGGCACAGCAAATCTTTTCAGAAAACCCTGATATGCAGAAGGAAATTTATGTGGATCCTCGGTCTCCAAATCTTCCTTCCAAATCTTTGTTGAAGGCTGAAATTGAGCACCAAATTTTCTCAGATTGGGAGAATGCTGACACTGAGGAAGGCATTTCTTTAAAGCATGCTTCAAAGTCCTTGGGGAGGTCTGCAGATCCACAAGAAGGTCTGTTATTTTCAGAGAGGGCGCCTTGGAAATGGAGCCATTCTAAATGCCAGATACCTTCCAGAAAAGCGTCGGGGAAGCTTAAGTACCAGGAAGAAGTCCTCTCAGTTCCTGATAGCTCTTCTGAAGAGTGGAGGAATTCTGAAGAGCAGTTGCCTTCCAGACACCCTTCCAAAGCCTTGCCTGGGCCTGAATTCCTGCCACCAACAGGCTTAGAGAGTGACCCTGTGGAGTGCAGCACTCTGGAGGAGCACCGACCTCACCCTTCCCAAGCTTTTGGAAATGCTGAGAATCAGCAGTCGGTTCATTCAAGTTCCAAGAGTGCTGCTGCTGAGGGAATCATTTCTGAGGACAATCCTGGAGCCTACTCTAAAGGCCGACTTTCTTCAAAGAGAAGCAAGAGACTCAGCCAAAGCTCTGAAGATTTCACTAAGAGCATCCTGACCTCAGCAACTAATCCAGGGAAGGTTATCAGTGCTCCTACCTGGAAAGTACCCATTTCTGAGGATACTTACCATAAGGAGGAAATTCGTCAGAGTGATGATAATGATGGTTACTCATATTTATTCACCAAGGAAGCTAATGTTGAAAATCTTTCTGGAGCCCGACTGAAAAGACCGTCTTCTTCACGCAAGTATAGGAGTGAGAAACCAAACAGCTTCACCCAGCTTCCTTCCTTCCCAATTTCATCCGGTAGAGGCAGAGAACATCAAATGAGAAGAAGTGTTTCCCAGGAGTTCCCAAATACCACAGACAGCCTCACCACACCGTCTACCTTTGTGGAGAAACATCAGAGCAGAGCCAGATATGAAGGTATGGCCAAGAAGCATCCAATTTACAACACCCCAGGTGAGAGTTTTAGCTCTCCAAGGCAAGTAGGTTCCAAGTAGAGGAAAGAACTGGAAAACAAAGCCTTGAATGGGGGTCTTGGAGTCTATTCCAGCCTTGTCTACTGTGTTGTTGCTTTGATAGGGCTGACTTGGGGATTTGGAGGCAGAGTAACGCCCCATTCTCAGTTCATAGATTTGGAGGTAGTTAATCTCAAATCTTCCTTTGGCCAAGGGGGTGTTGTGCTGACCATCCCTCGACATTCCAGAATGGATCGGTGTCCATCTCCCCATTTTCTCTGCCCCACCCTCTGTACATCGTACTTTTTGGTGGACTGGTACACTTTCTCAGAATGCTTTTATGTATATTATGCCCCTCCTAACTATCATGTGGATTTTTAAAGGCCAGTGCATTAAAAGCACTGTGTTTGGACTCTTGGCCTGAAATCTTAATGTACTGTAAATGTACAGCTTCTTCACTCATGTGGAGTACCTAAGAATTCAGAGCTAGGTGATCTTTTGAGTATGATTCTCTCCCCAAACCTTTGTGCCTTCACTCTCACCCACACATAATCTTGTCTATACCTCTGGCCACACCTGTGTAAGCACACACTTGCATGATAGCCTATGTAGTAACAGATTCTGTAAGATTTTCCTTGGAGTTAGAGGCGTGACATCAATGCCTAAGCCTCTGACCACTTAGGAACTGTCCCAGCCCACCTGACAACAGCTGTCTTGCCCTAATTTGAGGTTGGGGAGAGAAAGGAAGGGAAGGGTCCAGTAAAGGGTCATTGTGCTCACTTTGCAGCAGTGTTTTTTTTATTTTATTTTTGTGGGTTGTTATTTGAGAACCCTCTCTATGTGGTTCAGTTTGAGCTCATACTTGCAGTGAGCCTCTGCCTCAGCCTCCCAAGTGCTGGATGACAGGTGTGCACCACCAAGCTGGTTAAGCACAATTTAAATACCCAAGGGACTTCTACCTTGCCAGGTTGTAGATAGTGCACAAAAGAAGGGGGTCCTTTTCTACTTGAGATCTATTTATTTTCATTTGGTAATTAATAAGGATCCCATTTGGAACATCATTGTGAGTAAGCTCCCACTAGATAAACCCCTGCCTGATTTGCTTCCATTCTAATTATTTTTATTCTTTTCTCAGGAAAATCTCGTCGGCAATCAGATTCTTACACCTCAGATCCAGCTTGGTTTACTATGACAAGGCAGGACCGTAAGGGCTCCCAGATCTACATTCCTGCAAAAGAGACCAAAACCAAGAGCACAGCTGGAGCCAAAACTGATACCAAGGAGCCTAGACGTGGCATAAGACCTGAGACAGCCCAGAAAACATTCCAAAAGGTTGCTAGAGCCACTGATTAAGCTTCCATTGGGAATTTTCCAGACATGCAACACCTCCCACCACATTTGGGAGTATTAATCAAATCAGGGAGACTCAAAGGGACAAGATTTGACTTTGTACTTATACAAATATAACCTGCTTTACGTATTTAAAGGTTTATAAAAAGTAGTTAACATGGGGGTAGAGTCTGTAAATCAAATCCTGTCCTAAATATTCTAGAGTAGGATTCTTTAAAATTGGCTGATAAATAATAAGTAGAAAAAAGCAATTAAAAATAGCAAAGATAACCACTGGGATAAGAGTTGAGTGTCTATCAGAGGTTTTATACCTGTAAACATGTACATATATTTTATAAATGAGAATCACACTATAAATATAGTAGTATCCCTTAATCACAGGAGGTACATGACAAGACCCTTGGTGGATGCCTGAAAGTACAGATAGTACTGAACCCTATAATTTAATGCCTTTTCCATCTTAACTAAGTACTTATTCTGTGGGTATAATTTTAAGTTTGAGGTAAAAGAGCAAAATTATAATGAATTTCTTTTTCCTTCATCACAATTTCACAGATAGAAGATTCACCTGATCTTAGCAACCTCAGCGTATGATTTTCTTCTTTCTGTACCTTTCTTCTTTCTTGCCTGTTCACTTAAAGAAAGCACTTTATAGCTTCTCTTTGGTGGATCTGAATTGCCAGCATCATTATCTTAACTGTGGTCATTATTAAGTAAAATAAGGGTTACTTTAATAGGAACAGTGATTCCACTGCAGTCAATCTGATATGTAACTGAGAGGACTACTCACTGACTAACAGGTGGGCAGTGTATGCAGTATGGTTATGCTGGGCAAAAGAATGATTCTTGTCCCACCGGAAGTGGTATGGCATGAGATTTTTATCGTGCTACTGAAAATAGGATGCAATTTAAAACAAACTTTTTTCTGAAATTTTCTTAGTATTTTTGGACCAGGGTTGACTGTATGTAACTGAAACTAAGGAAAGTGAAACCACACAGACAAAGAAGGATTACTTGACTACGTTTTATTGAACATTTTATTTCTAGTTAGCTTTCCATATTAGTGCACAACAGTTTATGTGTTCAGTGCTTGGATTTCTACATATAGATTTGGTTTAGTGTGGCACCTACTTGGATGTTACAAAATGTGATGAACTAGGCTAATGGCACTGGGGATGATGGGGTGCTGCCTTGTTCTCTTCTTGTGAAAACTGACTCAAAAACTTATTAAATTTTAAACTTATTAATATCAGGAGTACATCTAAGCTCCTCAACTTTTAAGTGGTCACTAAATTTGTTGAGGAGTCATGTGAAGATCTATTTAAACCTTTGCTTTAAAGATCTTCTCCCAGAAATCCGGGAGGCTGAGGTAAGAGAACCACAAGTTCTGGCCAGCCTGGGCAATTTAGCAACTTAGTGAGATGCTGTGTCAAAAGTAAATGAAAAATCAAGGGCTGGAGATGTAGCTCATTGCAAGGATCATGAGTTTAACCTCCAATATGAAAAAAATTTTTTTTCTCATAATTAGCATTTATATGGGAAACGGACCATGCAAGAGTAAAGTCCGCCTTGGTTAAAGCTTTTTTTCAGGGGTAAATACTTTTTTTCAGTGCATGTAAAGTTATTAATTTAGACCACTTGTGAAGAGGTTAATTTAACTATGCTAAACTGTAAAATTTTGAAAAGACCTAGAGTTACATAACTTTCCAGTGAAAGAAGTGCTTCTAGTCATATGTCAGCAAGTTTTGCAAAATAGAAATCCCATGAACTCACTTTAGTGAATTGAACAGATCTCTTTGTAATCATCAATTCTTTTAGCTTGCTGTTAAGTGCTGGTAAAGTGCTAGGGAAACAATTGTTTTTAAATTAAATAATTCTCATATTATTCTGTTTATACCTTTTTTAAAATTAGACAGCCTTTTCTTCCAGGTCTGAAAAGTGATAAGCTTAAGTCAGTTTAGGTTTTGTGAACATAAACTGCAAACCAAGGGGTTCAGTGCTATTTCTTTTCTTCTACATCTACATCTACATCTGCATCTACATCTATACTTATACCCACACCCCTACCCATACCCATATCTACACCATCTGTCTCTTTTCCCTTGATTAGTCTTGAATTAACAGTACCCAGGACAGGGCTTGCACTATATGATGTTCTGAATAAGTAATTTGCTGGTTTTTATGTGAGGACTTACAAGCTTTCTGTTTTCATTTTTGTATTAAAGGGAGCTGGACTTGCAAGTGAAAAACAACCAAAAAAGATTCTCATTTCCATTATCCACAGACAGGAGAAGAAGGCACAGATAAAGCCCTCTAAGTCTACCACATCAGGTAAAGGAAAATACACTGAGTCCTCCAAAAGGTAGCTCTGGAAGAATGTGAAATGTTTGCAATTTCAAGCTCAGTTAACACATGTCTCTCTTTCCCCAGTTCAACTTCATGATTATCTCATGACTTCCAAGAGAGGATAACAGATGTTAGCTTGTTTTAGGAAAATCCAATTATCATAACTAATATACGTCCTCATGTAAATTTCAGAGGGTCTTTCAGTGTTTCACCTCACCAAAGAAGTTGTTGTGGCACAAAACAGTGATCACTCACTAAACCATTTTTACAATTGAGTGTGCAAGAGGAAAGTCCCAAGTCACTTTCCAGCTTGTAGTAAAGTAGTAATTTTCCACCTGCTATACCTCCAATGAAACTTGAAAATCATCCACAGGGTCTTGCTCAGTAGTCCAGGCCAGGCTTAAACTTGCTTTGTAGAGCAGGCTGGCCTTGAACTCATGGCAGTCATCCTGCCTCAACCTCCCAAGTGCTTTGATTAAAGGCATGCACTGTCACATTGGTTCTCTGCATTCTGAACAGGAATATGAGAGGTGGGGAAACACTGACAGCTGAAAAAACACCGTGATGGGATACAAAAGAATGTGATATCATCAATAAGAATTGTGTTCCAGAGGGATTTTTTTTCAGCCAGAGAAGAGGACTGATTTATACTAAACCATTTTTGTCCTCTCTCTTAATCCCTTTCATGAAGAAATTAGACTAGGAATTCAGGAATCCATTATTTGGCTATGAAATAGTAGTAACTGATCTGCTCAGTGCCTCATGGTTGCTACATTCCTGTCAAGATGTTCTCATCTCTGAGCATTGGAATCACCTGGTAAAGCTTTTAAAAATTACAGATGGCTCTGGTCCCATCCCTTGTGATTCTAATCCAGTTGGTTCAGAAAATGACGAGTATCAGAAGTTTTTAAAAAGCCCTATGTGATTCTGTGTACTCAGGATTGAGAACTACTGGTTGTTAAGCCTAAGGCACTCAGTCAATTAGCCACAGAGCAAGATGAAGGAGGGAGGGAGGGACAGCAGGAAGGAGAGGAATTGAGAAATAAGGGAAGTAGTCTGCATAGCCAGGGTGATTGTTATATCGTTGTCTAGTATCGACTTTTATTAGCTAGATCTATTGAGTCATTAGGTATTTCATTTCATACAATATTACACAGACTGGCAAAACAATTATAACATTACCTGATTTAAAATTTTAAAACTAAATAGGCACAATGTTTCCTTTCTAATCTCAGTGCGAAATTGCAGGACAATCTAATAATAATCAACAAAGCCTGGAAGTTACAGGTTAAAGAATTACCTCTCAGGCTTTCCCAAGTCCAGGCCCCCCGTGGTCATTGCCATGTTGATTTTACTCCTTTGACATACCACTCATGGCACTGCCTGTAAACTGTCTTTTAGAAGCCTGGCATCCATGGGAGCAGGAATTGGAAAGTACTAAGAAAGGGGGATCAGAGGAAACCTGAAAGGATAAAATAATTTATTTCACCCTATAAACATAGCCCAATATTTCTGGGTCTTCTTACGGCTTATGTGTTATTTGCTGTGGTTCCAGTTGTATTTGAAGATCAGAAGATGCTTCGCACATCTGGCACGGGAAAAGAAATGAAACGATCTTTAAGTCTTCCATCTGGGCTCCAAAACCCAGATGAGCTGGTTAAGTCGAATGACCCCACTGAGCCTGTCTGGTTCTCCATTGCCAAGAAGAAAGCCAAAGCGTGGAGCCACATAGCAGATACCATGAAATAAATAGTTCCTTGGTGGAGCATCAGCATTTTAAATGACAATTGCTAATAGCTATAGCAATTCTACGCAATGATTACATTAAGCAAAAAAGCTTTATAAGTGAGAATTAAATTTTTAATTATTTAATGAATATTATTAATGCTTAACCTTCCATATAGTCACTGCCAGCATCCTGAAAACTAGCATTTTCTCTATAAAAACTGTGGAAATATTTGCACTGCTGTAGAATTTTGAAATCTTTTAACTTTGGTCAATGTGCCTTAGAAGGAAGAAAGTAAAAACATTTTGTTGGAGTAACTAAAAGATTGTGTTTCCCTCATCTACATAAAGTAATTCTCATGGAAATTTTCAGATAATTTAGCCTAGAGATTGGATTATAGGTTTTAGGAACCTAGATAAATGCGTACCTATTTGGCTGCTGCTCTAAGCTTTGCAAAGGCTTCTAGAAGATATGGTGGAAGTGAAAATTCTGGGTTTCAAAGGAAATTTTTACATAGCCAGGCCCCTAATCAGCCCACTACCCATTGAAGCCCTTTCCCATGTGTCCTGGGCTCCCCTAACGATAGTGGGTGCTAGTAACACACAGAGCACTTCTATCAAGTTCCCTCCCTTTTTGCACCTGGCAGGCCTGGCACCAGTGGGTGGCCCCCTAGCAGGCAGAACATTTCTTGAAGATTATTCTACTCCTCTGGATGATTAGTCTATCAATGTCTGATCCTTTGTCCCAACACTACTAGGGACCCTCTCTAATTTCTCAGAAAAGTAAATGTGCTTCCAATCATACACATGCTGCTGTTTAAGCACCTACTTCCCTGTCAAAAGTCAACCTTTCACAGATGTCAAAAGCTGTACTTTCCATCAGGCAGAGGACAAGCTGACCGCCCTGAGTTTGGAGGCCCTGGGAGGTCCCTTCTCCTCTGGCTCTGGCCTTGACATGGACAACTCCATGTAGATCAACTTCCCATCCATCCCTTCTCCTCAGTGTCTGTGCTTCACAAGGGTTTAGCCCAAGGCAAGTCCTCCATGCTAAATCCACAGAGACGTGAGCTGGAAGCCTCAAGCGATGAAACCAGCCTCTCCCCACCCTCACTCCTAGAGGCGCACTCCTCAAAAGATACTAGGCGCCCACCTCCCCAGTAATCCCTCCACCCTCACCCATGAGGACGAGAGGAGGCTGAAAGGCCAGAGCGGGGAGGGAGAGTCGGGAGGAGGAGGCTGCCCTTTCTAGGAGGAGGGGCAATAGCCAAACACACTTTGACTCCTCCTTTCCCTTTGGCAACCATTTTGCCCTTGAGGCACAGCTTCCACGAAGCACCCCCAGGGAGAGGAGAAAAGATGAGGGCCTCCTCTCCTAGAGTCGGCTCCTCGACTGGTTTGCTTTTCAAGGCGCACACCCTCTAGTGTCCCATGCGGGCTCTCTGGAAGCTAGACAATCTTCCTTTCCCTGTGCTTCCCTTTATTCCACCCCAAGCCCACCAAGCACTAAGGGAGAGCGCCCTTTAGATACACGGGCAGCAAACCTAGCTCATTTCCCTGCAGGCACAGAACTGACTTCTCAGGATAGCTATCACCATATCTGCCTGTCACGCTGGGGCTACTTCGTTTAAACGAAAGTTCAGGCCTGACCTTGTAATTGTGCCCTTATATTCTGAGTGGGATACTACCTGGTGCAAAAAAAAGTCTAGGGAGACAGTGAAATCTCAGAGTTAATTTAAATACTTGGTGCTGGTTTTTGCTGATGATGGTATAATGTGACACTGTACAACCTAATGTGGGATTGTGTGTTTTCTCTATAAAACATCTATTTTTCCTGATATTGTATCTTTACCTTTTTGATAATGCTAGGTTTTTGAATAACTGGAGTTTTCCTCCCTTTTTATTCCCATAGTGAGTAGTTCATTTATATAGATGCTCTTTACTCAGATATCCTGGTACTTTCTCAGGAGTGGACCGCTTTTAGGTTATTCTCACTCTGAGAATTCCATTAATGGTTTCTTTGCCACTGTTAAAGCTGTGTTCTTAAATGAAGAGGTTTTTTTTAATGTATAGGGGCACATTCTGGTAGATTTTCAGTTTCTTTTAGCTTTCTTGATTTTTGATATATGCAAAGCAAATAAATTCAATAAAACCTGCTCTGTAGTCTGTCTCGGTCTGTCTGTGGCATGAGGAGGGACGTCTAATAGGATAGGAACAACTCAGACCCGAGGGTTGCCAGAGGAGCAAAATGTCCTTCAGAGGCTGTGCTGCACAGGAAGGGCTTCCGTGAACATGTGCCTTCCCGAGCTGATGGCTTCCAGGTGGGCCTTGCTATGGGGAGAAGTGCTGCTGAAGAGGTTTTGCATCTGAGTACCCGGGGAACTGGGGGAGGGGGTGCAGATGGGTGAGTAGCAGGACTTGATGGCTGCTGGTTGTAATCCAGCCTGGCTCTGGACCTAAGTCTAAGTCTGATGGCTTGATTGGATTCTGAAACAAGCCATTTTCAAAAGCAAGGGACCACTGTGCCCAGCGTGGCATGTAGTGAGGGAGGGAAAAGGGCTCTAGACCAGATATTTAGCCTGGCCAGCCAGATATTTACCCAGGCTCGGGACAAGAGTTCAGTTGGGGATCCATATTTAAATCAACTAATATGTTTTATTCAGCGATTAATCTCTTTCCCTGAAATGTGCTTTAATTTCCAATTCATAAAGGCCAAGTTAGATTTTAGAATTTTCAGACTCTTTAAAGTCTTAATCACAATGACGTGACTCTCCTCTACCCCTCCTGCATTCTTTCTTCTGGTCCTGGCCTGGCTTCTGGACAGACCCATACCCTGGTCCAGGCATACAACAACTCCTTAGGTCTAGGAGTACATGTCTTGATGGGATAGTCAGACTTCCTCAGCTAAGTTCCAAGAGGAGCATGCAGGTCCTGGCATCAGGCTGGGAACTGTTCAGGAGTCCTTGGAACTATTCAGGAGGGTGGTCTAGCAGGACAGTAGCCCTTGTTCCCATAGATCCCTGGTGCCATATGTCCCTGAGCCTGTAGAGAGGGCCATGGCTGGAAGAGAGGCAAAGTGGAGCCTCTAAAGCTTGAAGCTTGGGAAACATGTCTTTCTTGCTTAGTTCTGAGAACAATACTATACAAACAACTGACACAACATAAACATGAACAAGTTTGGAACCCCTCAAATCACACTATATGGAAATTGTCTATTAGCCTGCCCTTTCAGTTTAAGTAATGGTGACAAGTGGCCCTGTGTTTGTCTCATTGTATAAGTCTAGCCATAAGGAATACTGCATAATTGTATGTTTCAAAACATCAACAGTCATGACCATAAAAGGGGTTGTGGTAGTATTACATTTACTTTACTTTAATGGACCCCAAGTGAGCACCTATTAAGTGGAAAACTCTGTGGCTAGGGCTTTGGGAGAGGAAAATAAGTAAAACCCTTTAAATTCTCAACTATTCAGAAGTTCACATTCTAGGAAGTGGAGTGGTAAAGGGAGTAGATATATGCACATATAAACAATATACAAGTGCTTGCATGTTCATACCAACATTACTCACTACAGCTAGAAGGTGGAAATAACCCAAATATCCATCAACAGAACGATGGATAAACAAACTGCATTATGTAAATATAGTGGAATATTATTCAACCTTAAAAGGAATGAAGTACGGATACAATGTGAATGAATCTTGAAATCATTATGCTAAGTGGCTATCCAGATTGAAACGCTATTTGTATGAAATGTCTAGCATAGGTAAATCAATAAAGACAAAGCAGATTGGTGGTTTCCATGGGGTTAGGGGAGGGGGAAAGAGAGAATGACTTCTGAATGAGTATATGGAGTATACGGTTTGGATCTGTTGGAAATGTTTTGAGACCAAATAAAGGTAGCAGACACATAAAGTTGCAAATGCACTAATCATCAGTGAAATGTTTACTTTACAATGGTTAATTGTGTTAAGTGAACATACCATTATGCAGTATTCCTTATGGCTAGACTTATATAATGAGACAAACACAGGGCCAAAAAATAATGCTCAAAAAACAATGCTAGTATAAACTGGAATATGAAACACCCTCCCACAGTATATGAGAGAAAGTATTAGTGCTAGCAAGAAAGCACCTGCAAAATCTTCACAAGTGCACAAATGAGGCAGTCTAGCCTCAATCCCTGGTGCCCTTCCCTGCTCTGATCCTCTACTCAGGTCAAATATGACCACCTTTCCCCCCCTTAAACAGTCTAAAGGCTACACGTATTCTCTTCTTCTCTTTTTATCTCATATTTTATTAAGAAATATTTCAAACCTATAGAAATGTATAGAAAATACTATTATAAGCATCCATGTATCCACCTTATCCTCCCTTTCTTTCTCCATCCTAAATGAGGTGTTTATTTTTCCCAGCCACACCCACACGTCACCTTCATGTGCATCTCTCATATGCATGTTTGCTACCCAGATATGTGTGCACAGTTATTACATGCTGTTCATTTTGTGTGGTTTTTAAACTTCATTTACATACATATGTGGTATCTTCTTTGTATCCCTTTGGATACAGCTTTCTCCTTTATGCATTGTTCTCCTGCCATCACCCAATCTTTGCTCCCTGTGTCACTTCCTATTCAATCTGTCTACAATTCCAGCCCAGTGAATTAAGGCTAGTCCTACTTCAGGTGAGTCTCAGCTACTTCCACTATTGTTCTAAACCAGCAGTTCTCAAACTTTAGTGGGTATCAGAATCCCTTGGAAAGCTGGTTTAAAAACAGAAATATCAGGGGGCCCACCCCACAGTTGCTAATTCAGAGGTAACTGATGTTGCCTCAGAATTTTTGCACTTCTACCAAGTACTCAAGTGATGCTGATGCTGCTAGTTCAGAGACTATACTTGGAGAGCTACCACTCCAAATAAAAGTCTGGGGCTGGGCCCTGGTGGTGCACGCCTGTAATCACAGCACTTAGGAGGTTGAGGCAGGAGGATGGTTGAGAGTTTGAGACCAGTCTGGGCTAGAGTGAGCTCAAGGCCAGCGTGAATGATATAGTGAGACCCTGTCTCAAAAACACGAAAAAAAAAAAAAAAGTCTGGGCACAGGTTCACATCCAGGCAACCTGGCCATCTCATAAGGTTTCCTTCAAAACTATGTTCTATAGCAGTACTATCAAATAGACAGGTAACTTGATCCAAATGTGTAATTTAAATGTTCTAATAGTAACATTAAAAAATTCAAAAGAAAGTTGTAAAAGTAACTTTAATACTTTATTTTGCTTAACCTAATACATTATCACTATGCATTGTTATTAAGATAGTTTGCACTGTTTTTCACACTTACAGCATATTTCAAATCAGACTAATCACATTTTATATCCTCAGTAGCCACAGGTGGCTAAATGACTGATACAATTTAATTTTAAAGAAGCCTTGACATTCATTTCTCCTGTTAAAAAAGTTTTAAACTTTACACTTTAATTCACTGTGCTATAATAAAAGAATTTAAAATAAGTTTACCAAGTGTTGGAAAGCTATTCATTTTAAATGAAGATAGAAGAGGTAAAACAGATTTGAGTGTTATTTTGAAAAAGATCTGCCTGTAGTTCCACTTAGTTGTTTAAAACAAACTTATTTTTAACTTGAACACATAAAGAGAAAAGTCAGGTATCAATGGGTATCGTATTTGAGGTAACAAGCTTTGGAATGAAGTTAATGTTGATGAGATTCTCTTGAACTTCTAAACACATGTTGGATTCTTTCTTCTTTCTCCATCCTTTTCTTTCTAGTCTTCCGAACTACAGATAAAAATGAGAGAAAATTACCAATTATGCAGTATTAACTGCTTTCCATATCTAAGAAAATAGCATACAAAATACATATGCTGCATTTGTGCTGCATCTCAAGAAGTAGAAAAGAACAACCCATTTCCCTCTTGTACCTCAAACCTTTGGATATTAGGGTGCTCGTGCAACCGAAGACTTCAGTCATGTGATCTCACCAACCTTATCTTCCTCTTGCCTAACTCCAGAAATGCTTGGGGTCTTCTCTGTGTGTTTGTTTGACTGCAAAGGCCATTCTGGCACTTACATACATCTCTCTGGCTTTAAAAGCCTGTGCTGGTTGCAAAAATTATACTACACCCTTTCCTTCTCAGATGCTTGATGTCCATACGTACCATATGGAAAAGATGGTTGCTATGAAATGCACAGCTATCAAAATGCAAAAAGGAAAAATTTTCATCATTTAAATATACTCAAAGATGCTGGGTATGGTTGTGCATGAGTCGCATCCTAGCACTTGGGTTGCTGAGGCAGGAGGATCGCTGTGAGTTTAAGGCCAGCCAGGGCTACACAGTGAGTTCAGTAATTCTAGACAATATTTAAATCTAAGCCGGGCATGGTGGCTCATGCCTGTAATCGCTGCATTTGGGAGGCTGAGGCAGGAGGATCTTGTGAGTTCGAGGCCAGCCTGGGCTACAAATTGAGCATAAGGCCAGCGTGAACTGCATAGAGAGACTCTGTCTCAAAAAGATAAAAAAAGAAAAAAAAATGTATAGACAGATACCCGGGTTTTCCAAGGCTGCCACCTGCTGCGTCTGTGTCCTTTTCTGGTTCTTGTTGATTTTCGTTTTCCTTCTCACCTTCTTCCTCTGCTTCTCTCTCTTCCACACCTCCAAAATCATCATCTCCACTCCAGTTTTCTTGCGGATTCTGAGTCACTGTTTTAGTGAAAAATAACAGACTTTCAGAGCAGACAGGTATAGAAAAAACAACCCAATCCATAACCAATAACAGCACCTTACTGTACCCTCAGAAGGGGCAGGGAGACTTAAGTAACTAAGAAAAAAATAGACTTCAATTGGAGGAGGGTGGGACCCACTGCTTCCCCAACCATGGCCAGCACCGAGCAGGGCCAGCACTGCCCCCTAAGCTAAGGCCACGCCCATCTCCCCCCTCCCCGTTGTCCCTCCTCACGGGGTCCCCGCTCCTAGCCAATGTCCCACCTTCCACGTGTTCTTCACCCTTGGAGTCCTTTGCCACCTGCTTTCCGCTCTTCGCTGTCTCCTTCATCGCTTCCTTTGACGCCTCGGCCAACATGGCGGTGGCGCCGGCGCAGGCTCTTGGCTCCTCCACGGCCGGGGCCGAGACCACAGCCTCGACAGCCGGGGCTTGGGCCTCGCCTTCGCCCGGGGCCCTGACCTGAGGGATCGCCGGGCCCCTGGGCCCTGAAGGCATCGGGAGCACCGGCAGCAGCCGGGGGCGGAGGCTGGGGCGGGGACGTGGGCGGGAGGCTGCGTTGGGAGCGGATCGTCGCAGCCTCAGGCTGCCCTCGTAGGGGCGGATCAGGAGGTGGTCGTTGTGCTGCATGCGCTGCAGGAGCGCGTTGGCCAGCTCCATGAACGTGATTCGGAAATTCAACAAGGGGAACTGCCAGGGGTCCACCACCCGGTTCATCACCCCGTCCCCGCCCTCCTCCTCCTCCGCTGGCCCGATGGAGGAGGAGGAAGACGAGGAGGATGCAGCGGACCCTGCCTCCAGCCTCACGCCCTCCTCTACCACCCGGGGCCCTAGGGCCTGGGCTCCCGAGGCCACCTGGGCTTCGCTGCCCTCGGCCACGCTGCCCACATTTGTCCCGGAGTTGAGCCCAACTCCTTCATCCACTCCAGCTGCCTCAGCCCCCTCGGCTGCCAGGCTCACCCGGCTATCTGGGTCATTTGGTGTCGGGTCTCCATTCCCTGTGGCAGACATGACACTAGTCAGCGCCTCAGAGGGCCTGTGCCAATGGCAGCAAAGATGGCGGCCGCCGAGGCAGACCGTTGGCGGTTGGTCTGGAGCTGTTGAGGAGAGGCGGTAGGAAGTGGGTCCAGGGGGAGGGCAGAGGGGAAGGAGCACGGGAGAACCCACTGCTGACAGAACAAGAGTCTACCTCGGTTCTTGCAGCGGCCCCAAAATGGTAAGGGCAGGAGACCAATCCAGGATGCACCCACCCCAAACTGTGTCTCTGAAGACGCAGACTAGGCGGGAAAATTACAAGCGGAGAGGCAGAGGGCAGGCTCAAGAGTGTCATAGCAAGCTCTAAGCTCATTTGCTGAAACGTTAAGATTGACATGCCCTGAATCCAATGAATGATCAAAGCTCTTAGGATCCAAGAATACTCAGAATAACCCACTTTGAGGATGTTGTTGTGTTTTTTGTTTGTTTGGTTGGTTTTTGGGTGTTTTTTTTTTTGAGGCCTTAATGACTATTGCTACTCTTTAGATCTACACTAGTCTTCCCCTTGTATTTTTACAATTATTGACAAAAGTAAAGTGGTACAAAGTGAAGCCACCCTGAGTTGGGGAAATGTCTCTAAAGGGCACAGAATAAACTTTTAAGGGAAGGCTCAGAGGCAAAATGGAAGCTGTATTAAGTACTTCTCTGAAAGGACAGAAAATAAATTTCTTCAAATACTTTTATTGTTGAAATAAAAACCACAATTTCAATTGCATATCTTTAAAAAACAATATACACCCACTAATGACATTAATGATATTGTTTTGGGAGGATAACATTTTGCTTACAATGGACCTTTGACTTAAGAACTCAATTTGTTCAGAGGGCTGGTTGTAACGCAAGTTGGTTGTAAGTCAAGCCTATTTTTCCCATTAGAAATAATGGAAATACTCATAATACATTTTGAACCTCCCAAAGCACCCCTTAACTAACCTTTTCATAATAAAAAGTGTTGCATAATGTGCACAATTTGCCAGAAACACCAATAATTTTCCTAGTGTATTCACCAAAAAGTTATAAAATGTGCCTCGTTTATCGGAAACTACAATTTCATACTGTACTCACCATTCAAGTTTACATCTTTGGCTTGCAGGAAGTGAGGATGAAATGGAAGGTTGTTATTGTTTGGAAAGAGTCCCCTTCCATAAGAACATCAGGATCCTGGCTCTCTGGTGTCTTTTTTCTCCTTGGGAGAGTCTGTAGCCCACTAGGACCTGCTTCCGGCTCACCAAGTCTCAACTTTTTCAGACCTAAAAACTGGTCTAAGGTTGTCTGTTTCTGTCTTTTCTTTAACACTATTCTGTAGTATGACATGACATTGTCATTAGCCAAATGAATGTAATGATTGGCTTTTTCTCTGTCTAGGTGGGTCTTCTTTACAAATATTTGTAGCTTTGTCCATTTTTTCTGGATTTCCTTTTTTTCAGAAGAACTTTGCTATGCTGATAGTTGATACTCCCCCTTCTGAGAAAGCTCCTCAGCTGCTATTCTCTGTTGCTTAGCCAGAAGTTGCTGAACAGTTCTTCTGAGTGCTCCTCCAACAGCTTCTCAACAGCACCATATCTACCTGTAAGCCTACAAACTTTGCTATAGTGATGATGTCATAAACCACAGAGTCAATTGAAGGCTCAGGCTCCTCCACACAGCCTTCAAAGTATCTCTGCTATATAATTTAGGCCCCACTTTCTTCCATGCAGATCACAGTGTCCTTAGAGAGACATTAGCCCAGGATTTCTCAATTAACCCCACACAGGAAAGGATGTTGTAATGTTCCTTCCAGAACTCTGTAAGGGTTAAAGCTGTATCTGAGACCATGTAGAAGCACTTCAGGAACACATCCTTAGTGTATACTTCTTAAATTTAGCTATCAATCTACTGGTCCATAGGCGGCAGTAGAAGAGTTGTATTAGGTGAGAGGAGCTTGACTTAGAGCCATGGGGATTCTTCAGCCAATTCTTCCAAATCTGGTGGGTGAGCAAGAGCATTGCCTGTGATGAGGAGAGCCTTGAGAGGTAAACTTTGTTCTTTACATATTTCATAACAGTAAGAAAGACTGCCTCCCTGATTCACTCAAGAGAAAGTACTATACCCTTGTTATCCAGGCTTTTGGGTTAGATCTCCACATTACCCATAGCCTATTCCTTATGACTTTATGTTTTCTTTTCTTTTCTTTTCCTTTCTTTTCTTTTCTCTTTTGAAACAGGGTCTTGCTGTGTAGTGCAGCCTGGCCTTGAACTCACTTATGTAGCCCAGGCTGGCCTTGAACTCATGGCTATACTCTTACCTCAGCCTCCTGAGTGCTGGGATTACAAGCATGCACCACCATGCCCTGCTATAACTTTATGTTTTCTGAACACTCTAGGGATCTCAGAGTGGAAAACCAAGAAAGGTTTATCTTGAGGTTACCACTCACATTGGCACATAGCAATAACGTTAGCCTGTCCTTCATAGGCTTGAGGCCTAGTATTTTCTTCTCTTCCTGGATAATGTATGTTCTCCTGGGCATTTTCTTCCAGAAAAGGCCAGTTCTATCATAGTTGAAAACTTGATGAGAATAAAAGCCATTTCTCTGTGTCATTATTTTGAAGTGTTGTATGTAATTTTCAGCTGCTTTTTTTTAATCAGCACTGGCTGCTTCACCATGCCTAGTTACTCTATCAACTCCAGTTCTCCTTTTAAAATTGTGAAACAACCCCTTACTGGCACAAGATGTTCACCATTATCACTCACTGATGGATTGTCCTTTGTGAGATCACCATTTATAGCCCTAGATTTTTCACAAATTATAGACTCAGATAGGCTCTAACCTTCCATCTGCCTTTTGTTTATCCATACTAATAGTAGCCTTTCATCCTCCTCTAACAATTTTGATCATAACTTACTAATTTGAGTAACTCCTTTAGCAACACTAACTTCCTTATACAAATCTTTTCTCTGTAAGATTGTCGAGATGGTGGATTTCGACATGTTGTATATATTAGTGAGATTCTTCACACGAATGCCACTCTCATATTTCTCCACAATTTCCTCCTGCTCAATCATCATTGCTTTCTTTCCCTTTCCTCCTTTCATTAGCTTCTTTTCTAGATTTTGGGGGCCATTTTAATAGAAGTAATCATGGTGATTATGTAAAATACTGGCCAAAATCATGTCCACAAACACAGACATCTGCTCAGACTGACAAATACACTTACACATGCTTTTCTGGCATCATTAGTCTTTGTTTACACCTGCAGTAGCAGCCAGCATTTAAGTAGTAACTCAAGACATTGGTCATAAGTTAAACCTAAAATTCTCATTGTAACCCAAATTGTTGGTGTGTAAGGATGGTCATAATTTGAGGGTCCACTGTACTTAGGATTCAGTGTAAGCATTCTCTGTCATCAAAATAGTAAATGTTCATCTGTTGATGCATAATGGAATTTTAATAGTTCATCTTTGAAAATATCTGTTCACAAGTAGATATTGGAACATATTAACATCAACTAAAAGACAGATACATTCAAATGCTGATGCAAATCCCTTTATTTTACTTGAACATATTCACCTCTTGGAAGGCATTTATAGAATTCTAATAGTCTCTTCTCTGGTATTTGACTTTTTCTATAACACTACATGGATAGTTAAGTAACTAAATAGATGAATTTGAAATATGGAAATTTCCTTCCCATTTGCATCTGGTAAGAATGCTGGAAATTTAGTCTGAGCTTGGACAATATACCCATTGCACATTTGTATGAGAATGAAAATTTCACTTTTTTTAACTTTTGCTAGTTTGAGAAGTACAAAAAGTAGCTTCATATTACTTTGTTTCAAGCAACATTAGTTGTCATTGAAGTGACTTTACTAAAGTATGTTTCATATAAGCACTCTTTGCCTTGCAGCTTTAGGTTGAATTCATTAAGAAGCATTATCAAACTTAAAACAAAAGTTAAATTCCAAAGCTATTCAGTGTTCAATATTAATTGAGAAAAGATTTTTCTCAACAAAAAATAATTTAGTATCTGCCCAAAACTCAAAAAGTCACACACAAAGAAATTCTCTTTACCATTGTCCAGCCATAAAATTATTATGTGTAAGGGCAAATTGGAATGGCTTTTGTCTCTGAAAAAAGTTCTCAGAACTGCGATGGTTAAGTTTATGTGAGTGAAGTTTTCCATTGACACTACTCCCTATTGTCTTAGTTACTTTTCTCCCATTGCTGAAATAAAAGTTATTGATTCTCAAAGTTAAAGGGGAAAAAGTTTATTTAGCTCACAGTTTGTAGAGGTTTCAATTCATAATTGGCTGAGTCTAAGGCAAGGTGCCTTGGCAGAGGAGCATCAGAGGAGAAACAGTTCATGGTGGCAAAAGACAGCAAAAGCAAGCAAGGGAAGAGGGGAGCCAAGCCTCTTTCTGTCCCTTATATTGTATCCAGTCTACTGAGATTAGGGTGGTGCCAATCCAATCAGTGGATTGATCCAGAAATCCCCCACCCTGAATCCCAGCATCCTTAATTCTAGCATTGCACTATGAATCAATCATACACTCTAGATACAACCACCTCTGAAAAAGCTCCATTTATGACCACATGAGGCATTGGGGGGACACCTGGACATAAATCATCACACTTACAATAAATAATTTTGTAAATTCACATGCCAGTACCTTATAAT